CCCCCCCCCCCCCCCCCCCCCCCCTCCCGCTGACAAACCATCCACGCCCCCCTCCCCCCCCGCCTTTTGTGGCTGTTAAACAATGATTAACTGAGTTTGGGGTTCTCTCCCAACAATGATCCCTCTCTTTCTCTTTTCTCTCCCTCTCTCCCTGTCTTACAAAACCTAATGGAGTCAACCGAGTATCCAACAGACTCTTTTTCTTTGCCGTTTTTTTTCTTCTGCATCAGCCTCAATTGCTGCGTCTCCCCCTGCTGACAGCCTCTTTGGCTTTGACCCCCACACTCACATAATAAAGAAACTGTTTTTCTTTCAGCCTTTTCAAACATAATGTTCATTATTTTACCCCCCTGCGCTTGTTAAAGCAGAAGCAGATGTCTTCAGACGTAAAGAAGATGGTTCATGTCTGGAGTTGGCGTACAGCAGAGTGACTCCGTCAGGAGCATGGACAGCTGACAGCTGAAACATGGATCATCTGACCACAGAACATGTCTCCGCCGTCTTTGTCTCCGTCTTAGAGACACAACAACGCATTCTTTGGATAATTTTTTTTTCAATTTACTTTTTAAATTCACCGTCTGAGTTGTGAGTTGTCGCTCTTGGTGTGTAAAGTTTGTGCTTTTCCATTGTTGGCGACTCATTAATCAGAGCAGGTGGAGTTAATCTGTTTTTACTCGCTCTGACTCAGTCCAGCGAGCGGTCAGTCGACCGTCTTACAGCAGTTTGTTTTCCTGTTGGAAGGAAACATCTATCTCTGTGTCACGCCTCAGTAGTTTGATGGAGTCTGTCGTCAGTTTTGCAGTTAAACGCAGCCACAGCAGGTGGATCGGGGTGAGAACCACTGAACAATATGGTTTTTCATTTTGTCGTAGCAGCTGCTGCTCCTGATGATCAACATCTCCTCCACTCTCTTTTTATTTCCTTCCTCTGCGCACTGGGACATTCTGGATAATTATTAGTTAGCTGGTTTTATGGCTCATCCTTAGCTGTTATGTTTTAACTTGCAGTTTTATTTGTCTACCGTCTTCTCTGTCTCAGTGTAGCTCATCGATAAAAGATGACAAAAGATTTGAGTTGTCAAAGAAAATATACAGCAGTAAAAATAGTCCATACTGGTCAGTAAAACACTACAACACTATGGTCACATGATCACTGGGGCTGCCTCAGTCTGACTGTTGACAGATTGACTGACTGATTAATTGACTGATTAATTGATTGATTTTCCGGCGTCATGCTGCGTGTGTGGTACACCAGTGTTTTTAACAGGTTTACCGGAGCAGAAGTAACGTGCTGATTTCACACTTTCCCTGTTTGAGCTTCCTCACACCTTCACCTCCCATACTGTGGAGAAATCTGGGTGGACCACGGAGAAGCTTCTCCGCCCTCCACACAACTGCCCAACGTCACGGCCAATTTGTTAACCACAATTGATTTTACACGCTGAAAGGTGAAGATAAAGGAGCTAACAGCATTTTGTCAATGCAGACGTCTCAGTGTGAGAAAATTACTCCCTAAAAGAGCTTGACAAAAACAAGATGCATTTAGACACATTTGTATGAAGCTTTTTCAAACATTTTAGGCAAAATAATATTGATTTACCATGAGGTTTTTGACAAACATTTACCATTTTCTATATCTTTTGGCCACATACATGTTCAGTGGTTTGCCCTTCTGCTACGCAGCCTCTAGTAACAGGAAACTTTTCTAAAAAAAATCACTGAATTGCATTAAGAAAAAATCATCTATTTTAGCTCCCACTGAAACAAGCTACCTGTCTGCTACTGCCTCTGGTGGTGAGTTAAAGTCACCAGTATAAATTTAAATGAGTTCAGATACCGATTTTAAAAACTGAAGCAGCTGGACTTTAGTTTCTACTCTACCAGTGGTTTTACAGCTTCAAGACAAAGCTGCTGTAAAATAACACCAGTTCAGCCTTGGGGTCTGCTACTGCCTCTGGTGGTGAGTTAAACCAGTGTAAAATAAAATATCACCAGTTCAGCCTTGGGGTTTTTTTTTATAAAAAAGACCTGTGATCGTGTTGTTTTCTAGACTAATATTCTTTGGCATCTCATAAAAAACACACACTTCAGAAACGTTGAGACCATTTCAAAACACCTGGTCACTTCCTTCTTCCTTCCACCTGAATGTTTAAACCAGAGTTTAATTCAGACTGCCGCTACAGGAATAAAGACTGAAGAATAAATACAGTGGTTGGCAGCAGCTGCTGGTGTGTTTTGTAGCGTGGTTGTGAATAAAAAGTGACCAGGCCTGGTTTTTAAAGCAGAGGGTCTCTGTGTTATCAGCGCCTGCAGCTACGAAGTCCAGCCTCCTCTTCAGCTCACAGACCCAGATACAGCCTTCAAAGAGCCACAAACCCCAAGATCACACACTTGTTTATTTGTGTATGCCTATGAAGCTGATGCTCAGAGTTTGTTTGTGAGTGTGAGTGTGTGTGAGTGACGGCCCTCAGGACAGAGACACTGCCGTGGTGTTGCTTTTGAACCTGACTTTGCTGCAATCCCTAATTGTAGGGAATTTCACCCTCAGCTTTCAGCCTTAAGTGCACGTGCACAGGTTGTTGACATCACTGTAGAGCCCCACTGTCCATGGCATGTCTAACCCCTCTGAGGTGATTTTAATCATTACTTTCTTTCGTGCACCAGCTGAGTCTCAGAAGACTATTCTAGAACTTCTGCTCTCCAACTGTAGTGAATGTTCTATTAAAGAACGGCCTCAATAAAAGTCAAAATACACCTTTAATTTTTCTGCGTTTAAAAGGCTGACTCTCCAAAACCAGAGGTTAGTTTTACAGTTTATGTCATTAAACACACTGTGTTGCCTCCACTCTTTTAATCATTAACACAAATGGTCAGCAGTAGACCAGCAACTGCCACACAGTAAAATACAGCCGTGAACAGTTGCTTAAGTTACTTTTTAAACCAGTATTTTATTACTGCTGTGGAGGTTTTTTTTTCCCTAAAATGTAGCCTTTGTTCTTCTACTCCTTGGAGCACAGTCACTTCATTCAGAGCCCTTAAAGAGAAGCCTCGGCATCAATGGAAAAATTAAATCACTCAAACTGGCATTGGTCCCATTCACCCTGCATGGTAGTGATGTCAGCATCAGCTCCAGGAAAGAACAAAGTAGAAACAGTGGACGTGCGCTGCTCTGCAACTGAGACGCTGGTGTGGTTTTGGTCTTCTGGAATTATTAATAAAACCATGGACAATCAATCAATCGATTAACTAACAACAATACGTTTGTCTTCTCTTCTGGAAAGTTCCAGCGGTAAAACCTGCTAACAGCTCTACGACCTTCTTGGTACTCATTCACACAATTCCCTCTTATTTTTGAAGACAGAAACCAGGACAAATGAAGAGGAAATCTCACAGTATCGTCTTCTGCTGGACTCTGTTTGTCCATCTTTGGTTCCTCACTGAGCTTCAACCACAGAAGACAAACTCCTTTAGAGTTGACAGATTTACATAAAATTAAGTCGGAATTGTTTTCCACCTTACCTTAATTCTTTTCTCTTTCTTCCCTTCTCTTCCTCTGTCCTTCTTCTGGAGTATTTTCTTTTCACTCACTAAATTCCCACTTGTAAAAGAAGTGAATACTGTTTCTTGCTGCAGAGCATCACTTTCCCTAAAGTCACCTTCAGCCCTCGCTCCGTCTTCTCTCTATAAAATGAAAACACCTTCTCTGCTGTTTAAACACATTAAGACAGTGTGTATATTAGAAGTTTCTCAGCTGCTCTCAGCGCTGCCTCTGCTCAACCTTGTTGCACACTCTCAGCCCTGACGGGGATTATTTGGGGACCCTGTCAGGGTAAAGGAGCAATTGTCCGTGTCTTTACAATGAATGGGGCGGCCCTCTCAGCAGCGCCAGTGTAATCCAGCAATCTACAAGCTCCAGCATGGGAATGAGCAACCAAGGGTGAGAGAAAGAAAAGGAGGAGGAGGGGGAGGAGAAAAGAGGGTGAGGGCTGACAGGAGGAGAGCTGGGGGTTGAACTCTGGAACAGAGGGTTTGGAGGAATGAGGATACAGTCGTTCTATAAACAACATAGATATGTCTCTGGAAAAAAAAAATGGATTTGTGCTTCACTTTGGAAAAAAAAAACATTTTTAACCACGTGACGTTTCTCACAGTGTCTAGAGGAGGAGAGATGAAAAGGCAAAAGAAAAAAAGGCTATGATTTTCTATAAGTTCATGTATAGTGTGAATGTAGCCTGAGTTAATGAGCCAGGCAGGACGAAGAATTCCTCCACCACAAAAGCGTGGAGAGAGAGAGAGAGAGAGAGAGAGGGCATGTGAGTGGTTTGATCACTGAACTGATGAAGTAGAAAAAGCAAAAGATGAGGAAACATCCACCTCTGCTTTTTCACCAGCGGAAGTCTCCTTAATGGATTTAAACATTGTGCCGAAAGTACTCTGTTGGACCTGCAGGGGGATTTATGAGCGCAGAAGAGACAGCTTTAAACTGCGTTATATTCCATTGCTGTGCCATGTCACTTTTCCAAATTGGCAAAAGGATCCTGAAACATTAGCTGCACCGCCACGAGTCAGACTAAAGGTGCAGTAAAAATTAGTCATGGTCACGCAGATCTGATTCCTGTTTAGCGCTGAGCGCTTGGAAGTGACAGAATGTTTCATTTTGGCAGCTGTGGACTTAACGCAGCACAGAAAAAGAAGGTCTTTTTGGAGCAGAGCCGTCTTCAGTGGGAAAAGGGTGGAAAATGAATTCATATTGGAGACGTACTCGGGCATGTTTGAGCAGAAATGAGAACGTGTTACACAGGAACAAGGAGAGTTTCCAGGCTGCTGATCAGGGTTTTTATTCTGCCACCTGAGTGGTTTCCAGATCTAGTCCAAATACAGCCGTGAGAGTGCAGGTACCAGGTGGCACAGTTTGTAGTATGTTGTGTTGAACAAGATGAAACACTACAAATGATATGACAACCAAAACAATAAAAAACACTTGTGAAATATTTGTGTTGAGTGTTTTATTCTGCCTCGTCATTTACCTTTAGCGGCTCTTAGATGTCACATTTATTTTCTCAACATATAATATAAGTGTGTTCATGACGCCATCCTTTTTTGTTTTGCTGTCAAACCAAAGCATTTCTCTGGTGCTAACATGAATCCAATCTGCTTGTGCTACTGACTGTAGTACTGCCCTGTGTGTGAACGTTTCTGAGGTAATGATCTGGTCACTGAGGAAGTGTAACAGCGTCGTCATCAGATATTAGCTATTTCCTAATACATTGACGGTAAAGGTACAATGACGGTAAAGTCATGGCCTTTACAACCTGCAGCACTAAACCTTTGGAGGAGGCGTACTCAATCTGATGCGTGAAAGTACCGTGTCCCTGTAACACTGTTACAAACCGACATTACCACCAAAACACAAGTCCAACAAGTGCAGGACATGGACTGTATCCAATCTATTTCTACGCCAGATCTGGGCCTTTGTAATAGAACTCAAGAGGACTTGTTTTTTTTTTAATGTCTGGGACCATAACGGACCTTTCAAAACAGACATTAGCTCCCGTTCATAAGCCCCATGGCTTCAATTTGTTCTGCCAATTATTCTCCTTGCTGTGTCACATTGATGGAAGGCGGTGTTCAATGGGCCTGAATACCACTCTCTCTTCGGCCCGCCCCATCAAAGAAAACCAGACTCTGTCTGCCTTTTTTTCTCTGGGTGTCCAGTCAAGCATTCGTTGACAGATTGGCAAAGGCGCTAACCAGTCAGGTCTTCAAAGAGACAAAGACGGAGGGGGAGGGCCACAGAGAGCAACGGTGAAGAAGAATGACCTGCCAAATGAGAAAGAAGACATATTGAAAGGGACAGAGGACCAGAAAGACAGAGAGAAAAAACATATTGAACCAATAGAGAAGTACAGCCCTCTGACCATCTGGCTCCGTGGGTGACAACAGCCTTCATCTGTATTTTTAGAGCTGTACAACACACCAAATTACCCTGTCAGGAAGATTAAGGAGAGTCAAAAGGCTGTCGAGTGGAAGGAGGAGAGCAAATTTGTCCCTTTGGGCTGAGAATGGCAAAGAAAATCCGACACTCACTGTATTTGTAAGGTCTGCCAACATGTTTGGATAAAGTCACGTCTGTCACAGACTGACACACCATGACACCTCAGCAAAAGTTTTATAAAGACTTAGCTGCCAGCAGTTTGATTGTTTCATCAAAAGGACGTGATGTGAAGGATTTATCATTAAATCCACTCTAACTTCTGCAGGATGCCACGTAGTTTTTAACAGACCCGGTCCATTTAAAGTGGTTTTGATTCATTCAAAACCACTTTAAATGGATAAAAAGCGTGGAAAGGTAGACCCCTGCTGCCTGAAGTTACTCCAACCCAACCTGCAGTTTGCTTTGAATTAAATAATCCAAACAAAGTCTATCAACCTCATTCACTGTTTTACTTTGCCGCCGACGCCACCAACAGGGGAGAGGATGAAAGAAAGAAGATGAGAGAGCATTAGTGAGCGGCAGCAAAGCTTCCATGACATCTAAGATAAGAAGAGCAGCTCTCGTCACTTCCAACAGAAATTGAAAATGGCACAAAGCAGAACAAGGCTGAGTACAAAGAGCTCTTCTGTGTCTTTGGGGGAGAGTAGTCAAGCCTTTTCATGTCAGATTTTGGCTACAGGTCGAAAAACAAAGGGGGAAATTAGTGGAGGAAGTCCTCAACACTTTGTTGAAGTGATGCACTCGCCTGAGGAAGAGGAGGAGGAGGAGGAGGATTTGTACTTGAAACTTCAGGGGTGATGTATTGGCCTTGACAAGTGTTTTTTTTTTTTTTTTTGGAGAACACAAAAAATGAGATGTTTGACCTCAAACGTGAGACTAGATTTGACGGAATTGGGTGAACAGTGGATCATAATCAAACAGCCTGTAAATGATTGTTCCATGTCTGTATGAAATGGCTTAATCTGCCAAAGTTGACGTCTCTCCCTCTCCCTCTGACTTGCCAGTTAAAGCTAGTTTAGAAGTGATGCCTTGGCCTTCACAGTGATTGGTTGAAAGACATGGTAGGATGAATGTCATTAACTGTGAGTTATCGCAGTGACAAAGAATATGAAAATGATCTCCCACATTAACTCCAACCGCGGTATCATCGCGTTTCCTGCTTTTGTTTGCTCTCACCTCAGAGAAGAGATGTCCTTGGAGATTTAATTTAACCAGTGACCTTTGAATTTGTTCTCCCCTCACTCCTGCCTGACAAAATCAGAAGCTTAACGACTGATGCCTTAACCTTTACAGGATGTTTGATCCTAATTGTAAGACACCTGCGTTGGCACTGAGGTCAAAATGAGAACCCTGACATTAACTGTCCCCTCGTCATCATCTGGTTTCCTGCTTCTGGTGCTTGAGTTCAAATGCCATTCTATTTTTACAAACAGTCTTTCCTTGTGAATGCTGTGAAACTGGTTAAGAACTTCTTTGTGACTTAAGGGAGGAAATGAAAATCCTGAAGGGAAAGATTTCGACGTCCAGGTTCAGGAAATATTCCATGACCTTTACTGGATTTGGTAGAAAGGCAGAAGTAAAAGGTTCAGCCTTTGTTGCACGACACCAGGGGTTCGAAGACACAACTGTCTCCCAGGCATTTTTAAGCTTCCTGTTCTGCTGTGCCCTTGCCTTCAATAAGTCTGTCTTTTGAGATCTGCCGTCCTGTCCTGGTGACCTTTTTACTAATATTCCACATCTTTGTGCCTCAGCCGCAATACACCGGCTGCCGAGAGGACACAAATGAACTGTTGATGCAGTAACCTTGACAGGATGTGTGTGTCTTGTAGTTAGTTGCCTTCCTGCTCCAGTTTCGTTAGGACTGTGTGGCTGAGGGCTGATGGGATTTACCAGTTCCTCCCCCTCTTTGCATCCCAGCTTTGTGGGACATTCATGTGGGACATGCCTGTGTGCCTCCACTGTGACATCAGGTTTGGGATAAAAGACTCCGGGGCCGTTTGATGAGTATTCCAGTGGGTAGAGGTAGGGACCTGACCTTGATGAAGTGTCAGGAGCTGAGGAGACGCGGGGCCTCAAAGCAGCAGGATGGCTGAACCTCAGGAACAGCGCTGATATTTACCCCTCCTTCTTCTGTCACCCCCTACAAACCCCGGCTCTGCAAACTGTGTCTGTGTGACCCCGCTGAGTCTGACATAAAAGACCAGAGTGAATTTAGGTAGAACTTAGGGAACGGATGGGCGGAGGAGCACGGCATTTGTTGTGGATAATATAAGAAGTGAAAAAAACACGTTTTGCATGAATTATGGATGTATTCTGCCTGTCGCCTTATACCTGGTGAATTATTTACACTCTGCCAAATGTAATAGGTGTGAAAAGAAGAAAGGAAAAGACGTGTCTTCAGATGAGAAACAACAGCCCTGTCCAGAGAATTTAAATCACAAACAGATTTCAGCTGCTTTTAAAAATCCTCACCTTCAGTCCATCAATTCTCCAGAATGTGATCTGCACTCCATCTCACTGTTACACAGTCGTCTGCAGCTATAAATCTGTTGTGAGTCTCACTCGCTCTTCTTTGGGACAGAGAAGCTGACAGCCCGCTGTTGCCTCATGTGGTTAAACAGTGTAACTGCCTTCAAGCCAGCTGTCAGTTTGCAGAAGAGCTAACTAAAAATCATCCAACAGACTTGAGCTAATCCTTCAAAGTTACAATGGTCTGTGAGAAAGTTCACAGCATCAGGTTTGAACCATACTGTTTCCTCACCCCCTCACTTTTGGAAGAGCAAGTTTGTGCGCTGCATAACACATCTGGTACAGTGTACAACTGTATGTGTGTGTGGTCATCACTGATGGATCACATTAAACCCCAGGTTGGTTATAACGCCTGCCTCCTCGGGTTAAACCCAGAGGTTTGTTTACTGTGATACCGTGACGAACCTTTGGTCAAAGGTCCATCCATCACAGACACAAGTCATATAAAGATAGTCGTCTTGTTAGAATGAGCAAATCCTCCAACCAACCACGGTGTGTGTGTGTGTGCTGCTCACTCTGCCTACAGAGAACTGTTTCCTGGATCCACTTCCTGCCATGGGAAGCCATTATTTACTGCAGTGTTGCCAGTTCTCAATACTCATGACACGGTCATAGCATAGTTCGTGTCACTGTCACTGAATCTGCTGCTGTTACTGTACTGTAATGTAGTAGTGGTTACTTCTGTCTACAGTTGCTGGACGATTTGTTGTTGTTTTTTTTAAGATCAATGTAGAAGCTGCTCCTGCTGCTGCTGACATCAAGGGTGGTGTCACAGCTGATGATCTGCAGTGCTGTCTGACCTCATTACCTTTTGCAGTAGAACCCGACTGCTGCGTCCCCCGAGAACGTCTCTGCTACTTCAGAAGTGATTAAGCCGGGCTTTAGATCGCTGCAGGATCTGCTCCTGCTCCTGTGAGGTGCTGAGACCGTGAGGTCTGATCTATGTGTCCAGTCTAGATGGGTTAATAAGCTGAGCCATGGGCCATCAGCATCCGTGAGAGGATCTGTTTCTCCACTCGATGCTCTGACAAGTGCCTGCTGCACTCATTAGTGAGCGGAACATCCCTGTGATGAAGTTTGGAGATGGAAAAGCAGAGGTGATGTGAGCAGAAAATAGTCCCAACAACTAGTCTTACTAGTATTAATATCTTTCCCCTGGGACAGAGTGAACAGGAAGTGGATCAGATAAATCAGTCGTGTTAGTGTTGACAGATTTAATTAGATTTTCTTCTTCTGGTACATTTTGGTGCCAACGAGCTCCGACTGTGAGACATTATTGTCAGAGAAAGTTTTAATTACAATACATTTTGTGGAAAAATCTTTGGCCAAAAACTGGAGAAATGTTAACATTTTGTCTTTTTTTTTTACCCAAAGCTCATTATCCATAGAAACTTGACTCCTGTAAATAGTTTCAGAAAGTTTTCTGTTACTTCGTTAACATTTTGTCTAGATCTTGTTACCGTTCACTCTTGTTACTCAGCCTTTTCACTGATGAAAGTCTGCGACACAAAGAGTCTCTGTCAGAGAGTGGCACACACTGCCTCCCATTCAGGGCTGAGCAACAGTTACTGTCTAAACCAAAGATTTTAGTTTGTTTATTCTGTGGGACGGCTGTAGCTCAGGAGGAAGTGCAGTTTCTTTTGAACACCTGAAGGCTTCTCACACCGATGGGTTGATGGTGCTAAACCCTTTGAGTGTCTATCAGGACTAGATAAGTGCCATACAAGTACATACCATCTGTCATGTCTTTAATGACAACACAGAAGAATTTGAAGTGGAGGATTTTTTCGCCAGGATTCTATTTTTCTGTGTTTCTGCCGCAGTCAGAATATTTAAATTTAACAAGTTATTACAGAGTTTAGCTAATTGAGATTTTTTTCATTTTAGAATTTTGCAAACACTGCTTTTCATAGCTAACACTTGAAAACACATTTTGAAATGCAATTTTATTCAGGTTAATATAATAATGGAGAACAAACACAGCAGCTTCACACAGTATTTCCCCACAATAACAACTGCAGGGGATTTGAATTTAAACTAAAGGTGATTGGATATTTTCTAATTTGCAGGCTTTGGTCGAAATGTGTCTCAAGCACCAAGAGCAATAAGCAATTACAGCGTGTTTATCCCCACAACTCAGAATGAACTAATCTGCACTCAGCAGCCACGGCCAAAAATAATGAAATTAATTACTAGCATTAAGGCTGTGTGACCACCAGAGAAAGGTAGAAAATGTAATTATCCACATTCAGACGGAGAACTCTCTTTCTCTGTCTGTCTGTCTTTGTTTGACTACGCTCTCCGTCTTATTGTCTGTCTTTCTGCCCATTACCTGCCCTTTTCTCTTCTGCTCTTTTACTTCTTTATTCTCCTGATGAACAGCAGCAGCATCCTCCGCAGCCGAGAGCACAAAAGAAAACGCTGATTGGAAAACATCCATATCATTTATTTATTTGTTTATCTTTTCTAGATGGAAATGCACGATGTAAATTAAAGTTTAGTGACAGAAATAAAATAAAATAGCACTCTAGCTGAGAAATAGCTGCGAAACACTGATCAGTAAATGTGGACAGTGATGTTACGTTGTTGTATTTGTGTCAAGAATCTTAAAAAAAAGAATAAATAAAAACTTCTTAGACAATATTCTTTGAGAAACAGAACGTCAATAGTTTCTCAACCTGATATTAGGAGCTTTTCTCTGTTTTGTTTTTGCGTTTTCTCAGTTGGGCTGTAGACGGATCAGATGAGACAAGTGCTGCCGGGAAGGAAGCAGAATCATTTTTCTCTTGTAAACCAGTTCTCAGGGATTCGGTCTCTGTTTCCCACTCAGTCCGAACACCTCTCCTCTAGTTAGTCTCATCGTACCCACAAACCGCGCTCTTTCCTCCTCTGATCTCTTAACGTCTTCCTTCAGGCCGTGCGTGATCTTCACACACACACACACAGTCGGCCTGGTGTACGTTTCCACACCTTCCTGACAGGTAACTCGATCCAAACCTGCATTCATTCTTTGTCTCTGCCGCAAAACATTTTTCTGGGGATTGTTTTACAGTAACGACACGTAACAAAGCGCGGTGGTGTAATCCCACCCCCCTCGGTACGTAACAGCTGGCAGGTATCTCTTTGAAGGAGAGGTCAGGGTGTTTTAGTATGGATCAGTGAGTCACCCTTTAGTTTCACTCATGAACGAGAAAAACATTTACAAAGGCTCCGTTAATGAAATCATTACATGCTCAAGTCTTTGATGTTTTTATCATCTTTCAGTGACTGGAACTCTGACTGTTAAAAAATATTCTAACCGAAAAATAACATTGTTGAATCCATTACAAAGAGCACATTGTTTATAATAGCAGGGACTGTAGGTTGAGTGCAGCCTCATGAACCCCATCTTATCAGCGTCCACCCTGTCACTCACACATCACTGTGGACCTGTGGATTTAATGCACTTTTTATAGGTGTAGAGAAGGTCCTGCAGTTTATGGCTCAGGTCCTGCACAGCTAACAATATGAGTGTTGTGTTTAATGGCGTCGGGTGTATTGTGAGCAACCTCAAAGAATCAGCTCTACCCTTTGACTGGACTCCACATAAAAGCTGCAGAAATTACATGCTGCTTTGAGAAGAAAATGAATGCAGTTTTCCATTAACAGACATGTGTGACTGTGGCCCAACAGGAGCAGCTCTGTGCTGCTGATGCTGCTGCTGATGCTGATGCTGCTGCTGCTGATGCTGCTGCTGCTGCTTTTAGTTCTGTTTTTTGCCTTTTCTCTTAGAGGACGGGCAGGGAATAATAGTGAGTGTGAGATTGAATTAATTATGTTTTATCACCTTTTAGCTGATTGAAGTCTACTTTACTCCCTGTAGAGTGTTGTGTATGTGTCTACGCCTGAGCCAAATGGATGGAGGTCTGTCAGCTGGTGCAGACAGAGTCTGTGTTGTCAGAGACTCAGGCGCCAGGCTGTGTTATCATTTATTAAGTGCTCAAAAGCACAATGACATGATAGGATGTCAAGTCTTAAAAAACATCAGGCTTTGACCAAGAGCAGCGTCTTTGAGGTTGTTTTTGTTTGACTTTTTTTTTATCTGCATCAAGCTACAATAAATCTCACTGCAGATTTAAAATATAATGTAAATGAAGTGCAATGTCCTATAGATACAGAAAAATAAATAAATAAATAATAATATAATAATAATAATAATAAATAATACATTTTTCAATTTTGACATGTAATCCATGACATTCAGGCTGTAGAGCCGTGTATGTCCTTGTTGTTTCTATAGTTGTTATCAAGCTTGCTTACACATCTGCAGAAAGTCCTGGGTTCAAGCCCCAGGTAAACTGCATAGTTAATGGCTCCTACCGCGTGGCGGCCTGTGTGGGTTGCAAAGACTCAAGGCAGTGCTTTGTTGGGTTTGGACAAAGACTGGGGAAGAGGCTCAAGGAAAAACAATCGTTAAGAGACGGATAGAGAATAAAATACCAATGAAGTATGTAGAAATAAGTGATTGATTCTTCAACGCACTGGACCTAAATCCTCCACCTTGTCTTCTTGGACGCTCAGCCATTAACGTGTGAAGTTGTGGAAACTTGTGTTGATGTCATCGATTGGTTGACGGGTGGAGCCCGTGGACAAATTACACACCGCTGCTGATTGTAAACAATTAGCTTAACAGACAGACAATTGATCAGCAAGCGGCTCAGAAGAGAAACCCTGCAGGAGAACGAGGAAAGAGCAGGGGAGGAGAAAGCTGTCAGAGGAGGACGGAGAGGAGGTGATGACGTGGAGAATCACAACAGAAGAAGTCAGAGATGTGGTGTGTGCAAACCAGGCAGGACAGCCACCCCTCCCCACCCCACCCCGGCTGACGTTCCTGTCTCAGGATGACAGGTTCCAGGTCCCAAACAACAGAATTCCTGCCTGCGCTCCTTCTCTGCATGTCCATGTTTGACGTTTCTTTGCAGTGTTGTTTACAGTGTCACAGAGAACTGGTTTCTGTCCTTGCTTAGCCCCAACCTGTGTCCGTCTACAACTGCAAACATTCCGGTTTTGTCTGCGTAGGACTTACAAGCACATTCCCGAATCTCTGTCGTACATTAAACAACAAATGTGACCATTTTCCTGGGTATCGCAGAGGTGCGTTTGGTTTGTGTTTGGACCAAGAAGTGAAGATCACACACACACAGAACTGGCCCACGTCATGTCCCACTGTAACGAGGCTACAGTTTTTCCTGCCTGAACTTTTGCCGCCAGAAGATTTAAAAGGAACTGGGAAGACCACTGTGTCCTGAGATCTGCCCAAACAGAACGTCATGAGAACGACTGGTATACACTGGTTGACCGTCTCACCTGGTCCAGATGAACCAAAGAGACAATCAGTCTGTCTGCCAACCTCGTGTTGTCGTCATTTCCTTTAAACTCGTCCAAGTTATGATTCAGAACAAACAACAGGAGCAACAGGAAAATGAGAAAAAAAATGTACTTACCAGGCCTCCCAGTAGAACTTGACTGTGATTGGTCACTCTGAATCTCCAATGGAACAGTTCTGAAATTTAAAACACATTATTGCTCAGGCTACAGGAATTGTTTCATAAAAATAAGACTCTTTCGGCTTAAACATACAAAGTGAAGCCAGTTTTTTGCAGCACCAGCTTCAGAACTCTTGACTCATCTTTGCAAAAGATGTTGGTTGACATAAGAATCTGGAGCTTTAACCAAATATTGGTGATTGTTTGAAGGGATACTTGGATTTTTTCACCCTGGGCTTTGTTACAGCTGAACCAGATATGAGCTTCATTCCTTTGTGGTGGCACAAATCCAGGGAGCTCAGTAGACAAACCTGGTCTGGTCTGGTCTGTCTGTCGCCTTCTACGTCCTGAATGAGATGTTAGACATCACCTCACTTCTTCTTCTAGCCCTTTCTCTCCCCTGCTGTGGGGGAGGTCAGCCTTGGCAGGACTGCTCTCCAAGTTCAACACAAGTTTGACAGCCATCTGGTCTACAGTGTAGAAAATCCGGATATGGCAAACGTGCCACACACAGTCCAGCCTGGAGCTTAGTTCCAGCTAACACAGTAAACACCGCAGCAGTTTCCAACAATCCGTCAGGCCTCAGCAGTGGCTGACCAACAAAATGTCGGAGATTACATCAAATAAACACATTTCTGTTTACTTTTCTTTTTTGTCTTTTTTCCCCATGAATGTTCTGTCTTATATTTTTGTATTTTCCTTGTGTCATGTGTTTTGATATTGGTAATAAAATTGTGGTGTGTTTATTCTTCAGTCTCTAACTGCTCTGTAAAAGTCACGCCCCCTCAGGACGTTCTTCACGCTGATCATTTTCAGCTGCCGCTCTTCGTCCCCGTCACTGCTCCTAGTAAGGGACAAGGTTTTTCTTCTAGGTGTCATTATGACAATGACATTTACTGACAGAAGGGCAAGGAGTCACACAAGACGTTCCCACAGCAGTAAAAAAAAAAGCATCGCTGCTGCTGCTGCTGCCGCTGCTGCTGCTGGAATCATGATCCATACTGATGGAGAATAATATCACCTGAGCACTGACCTGTTTCTTCTGAAGATCTGAGAGTGAAACCTTAAGTGGATCACAGACCTGCTGCTCCTACACTCACTTTACCGCTACGTTAGACAAAAAATAATTTGAGCAAATATGTTTTATATATGTTTATATTTTTTACTGAAACTGTTTTTACAAAATAAAGCATTGGAATGGTTTTGATAACGTTAGCTTCTATTTTGTCTGGTCTTTCTCTTTTAAAAAAAATTGTCCTTTAAATTTTTCTAACCTTGAAATATTCTAAAAGCCAACCTTTAGTCATGTATATAGTTTTATATTACTGATCTGTTCTACTTCAAATGTACCTGGAATTCTATAAGGTTTTAAAGCTGTGTGGCTGACTTTTAGCTTTTGTTCTGAGCGTTTTCTGATATTTTTTATATTTTGTTTTGCCTTCAAACTGTTTCCTCTTTGAGCTCTGTTGATGAAGCCACTTGTGAAATGTTAATCAATTGTTGTAGCAGTTATAACTATTAACGGTAGTATTACCAAACTACCTTCCTTACTTCCTTCTTCTACTTCTTTGACTATACAAAAAATGAGGAAACCAAAGATACATTTTACTGCGTAGCTTCAGCAGCTCTGTACCAAACAACAGGAGGAGACACACCTTTGACCCAAATGTACTGGAGCGTAGTTCACCTTCTGCAGCAGCAGTTAAGACTTTGGTACAAAAACTTCATGAAAACTTATTTCTGAAGAACTTCTGTCTCTTAGAAAAAGCTTTTAAATTAACAGTCTGTGACTAAACACCTAAAAATGACGCTGGTGATTGCAGCTGTGGTGTCAGCACCCACCATTTTCTCCCTCATTTCTTCCTCCACCCTCCTCCTCCTTCTCCATTCACTCAGTTAATAGCTGCAATTTAAAGGCTATGTTCAGACTTCCAGCTCTGGTTGTTCACTTCTGTTTTATTACCGGGCCAGGTTCTATAGAAAGTCATTTAAAGAAAATGCAAACTTGCCTTTAATTTTTTTTAGGCTTACATGTTTGTGTTTGAAGAACAGAAACAAAACCTTCTAAATTAAACAACAATTCAAGGATCGTTCAGAATCAGCTAAAAGCTAAAAAACCCCAGCTTGAAGCACTATATCTGAGGCTGTTGAGGGAATAAATCAAAACATAACTAATAAAGTTAAAAAATATACAGAGCAACAGTGGCTTTGGTTGGTTTGGACATTTGGTTTTAGATACTGTTAAGAGACATTTGTGTTCAATCTCTCACCTGCCGTGAAACTTTAGCAGATGCTAATACAACTCTAAAATCTCTGTGTCTTTGAGGGGGGATCATCATAGTTTTTATTTGTTTGGGTTTTTTTTTTAGCAGACGATTCCTCCTGTAACTTGTCCGTTCCATGAACATGCATACGTTCTGCACGGCTGAATGCCTTCTCCAGGTTTAGCGTTTTGTTGTGCTTAGTGAAGTAAAGAGATGGAGGAGGCTGAGCAGATGTCAGGTCTGGTCTCCACCTCATCTCAACATCATTGATTTTCACACATTCTTAGCGAGACCAGTTCTGATGCTGGTCCATTTTCCCTCTTCAACATTTTGACAGAACAGGCAGGAAACTTGTCAGAACAGATAAAAAGCAGACAAAGAAAGCAGAAGAAAAGCTGTCCACCTGCCTGGTCCTCTAACACACGTCAATCCCTCTGCCTTCAGACACTTTCCACAGCTTTCCAACAAAACCAGGCAGCTTTAGGCTTTGACTCACCAACCTGTGAGGAGCTGCTGAAGACGGGGCAGAGGTTCAATAATTGGCTGCACCAGCTGAGCTGCAGCATCCTCCGAGCCTAGCAATGATGATGACCTCCCCTGTGCTACTCTCAGTGTTTGATTGATCTGTCTGTATGATAAGAAGCTCTGGTAAGGAGCTTGTACCCTTTAGTGAAACGTGAAAGCCTTCAGAGGAAGAGTGTTAGCAGAAAGCAGTGACGGAAGAAGAGTAACATTAGTAGAAGGAGACCTGGAAATAAATAAAAGTATGAACAGCAGTTCCACTTATCAGGAACATGGGCTCCAAACTCTGAAACCTAACCTGGATTTCCAGCCTGGATCAAACAGACAACTTTGTTTTCACTGTCTGTCATATAAAAACGATCTTTGTGTCAGACAACGACTGCAACTTCAGAGTATTTCTCATTTTTCAGGGTATTTTTTCTAAGCAAATCAACGTTGAAAACAGAAGGAAATCATTTCTCACTTAACTTAATTTACACAGCTATCAGTCACTGCGACAAATCCATCATCAAGATGAAGAGCTTATCGACACGTTGTGAGTCTCACACCTCCAACCACAGCCCTTCATTTCTTCTCACCGGTTTCTTCCTTCTTTAATTCTTTCCTTCCTTCCGTTTTGGCCTTTTGACATTTGTCATCATCCTTTCTGCTCAGATGAGGCTCTCTGCAGCAGTAAGGCTGTTGTGCTCGTGCTAAAATGTCACAGAGGCTCTCTGGCTGCCTGTTGTGTTTACGTCTCCCTCACCTTTTTTTCTGTTGAAGACCCTTCTGTCCATGTTGCCCAAAGGCTGGCGTTGAGCTATTCTTCTCCCTCCCCACTGCTGCACATCCCTTACAGTGCAGTTCTGACGATGATTTGTTGAAAATGACAATAAGGCTTTACATTTGTTAGTGTTGTGGCCTGGGTTTAGGAATACGTTAACATTTTCTTTCTGCCTGGATGTTGGTTATTCTTTGTCAAAAGAAAAAAAGCTCAGAGCAGAATGACCGTCAAAATATATGACAAGTGAAATTGGTAAAATCTACCGCTTTTTCCTTTTAAATATATAGACAAAGAAGCTCAACATTGTCCAAGCCAAAATCAAATGACTCAAAAATAACCATACCATAAGAATAAATCATAAAAAACATACTGTAAGTTCTCTAAAAATCTCTAAGATTTTCAAAAAGAAAAAAAAAAATAGCCAGAAATGAAGTGAAGTTTCATGCTGAAAGCCACAAATGTGGTCCATCTTCCAACCATCCACCTCAAGTGAATGACATAAACAAAAACTAGAACTATCGTATTTTATAAAAATATTTTATCTGTATTCTTTACTTTACTCTGTACAGTTTTATTTAACGTTTTTTTCAGGACACGTAGAGAAAGAGGAGGAGGAGAAGAACAGCAGCCGATTCTTTTACATTTTTCAAGGTCTTAAATGTGTACAGTGTAGATGAAGCAGAGGGGGGACTACACACATACACACATACACACATACACATACTCTGCTGCTGATACAGAGTGTACAGAACTGAGTTAGAATGTTATTACTGAGCAGCGTCCAGATTCTCCAAGGTTTTTTTTATCTCTGACTGAGCCTTGGCCTTGGAATCTATTAGTGGTTATCACACTAGGAAGACAGAGTCAATCACATGGAGCAGCACGGATGAAGAGAGGAGATGGGGAGGGGGCAGGTGAAATTCACTGGGACTGAAGGAGCAATGATGTTCTCCCCGTAAAGAAAAAAAAAACCCACTCTGAATACATGTTGTGTCGACTTAATCCAAAACAGTTTCTGTCCCTTGGTTTTATCTCTGGAGCAGCCGAAGTAGGTGTTGATATTCCAGAAGTTGTGTGTGTGCAAGAACGTGGCTTTGGAAGAACTAGCAAAACTGTAAAGTTTAAAAAGATTTCTTAAAAACATCCTCAAGTTGGCCAATATAAATTAAAATAAAACCATTTGTTGGACTTTTTATTCTGGTAACACTTTTTTCACTATATTTCCGCCTCAGTCGTCCAGGTCATCTTAAGTACGGTTGCTTTTGACCTATCACTGTTGGATATGTTCACTGTTTTGTACATAATTTAACTTTTCTTCAACCAGTAAAGACTCACTGAACTCAATAGTCTTTTTTATAAGAGGTGTCTGTATCTTGACATGGTTACAGCCATAAATCGTTACAAATGGGAGAAATATAAGACAGAACATATAAAATGTTCTGCACATAAACAAATATGTATGTTTAGAATATTAACATACATGAAAACAACCAATAGAATAAAACAAATTGCAAATGAGATTTTTTTTGGTCTTTATTAGTAGAAATAAATCAGAATAATATCTGTAAGTAACCCTGGTTAATTAGGTTAATTACAGAAATAAATAGGCCTCACTACAGTCAAACTGACAAGATCCTAACACATTGTTGATATTTTCCACAAAAACTTACATGTAGATGTTCAAATTCAAAGAACCTAATAGTACAGAATAATCCAGTAGCAACAGGCATGTAATGGACGTCAAGGACATCACAGGCACCAAAGACATTGTGGGGTAATACACAACCAGGCTGCAGGTCGACAGAAACTGTTGTTATTTGACAGTTGCTGTTGAACATCAAGAAAGCTTAACTGATTGTTATTTGGCAGTTGCTGTTGAACATTAAGCAAGCTGTGTTTTCGATGGATCCTCCAGTTGACTTAGGTAAACCTGCTCAACCTGACAAAGTCCTCCCAGGATCCTACCTCCATTCTGGATCCTCAACCTACCGTGTAGAGGCCTTCCTGGGACAAGGCACTTATGGCATAGTGTCAAAATGTCTGAGACTGGAGGACAAGCAGACAGTTGCCATCAAGTTGCTGAGGAAGTACGGCCCCTATCTAAAGCAGGCCAAAATGGAGCTGGCTGCTTTGAACAAGCTGAAGAATCTGGACGCAGACAAATGCAACCTTGTCCGGTGGCATCAGGTCTTCACCGACAGAGGGCATGTTTGCTTGGAGTTTGAGCATCTGGACAAGAGTCTTTATGACTTAATGGCGGAGAGGAGTGGCCGTTCAATGCCGTTAAAACAGATCAGACCACTAGTTTACCAGCTGGCAGTGGCACTGACTCATCTGAAGGCTCAAGGTATCATTCACGCAGATTTGAAGTTAGAAAATGTGATGTTGGTCAACCACATTCAGCAGCCCTTCAGAATCAAGTTGATTGACTTCGGCCTGGCCCGTCTAACAACAGAAATAAAAATAGGGTCCTATATTCAAAGCCGGCCATATCGATCTCCAGAGATCCTACTTGGCCTGCCATTCACAGAGGCCATTGATATCTGGTCTCTTGGCTGCTTGGCTGCTGTTCTCTACCTGGGCACCCAGCTCTATCCTGGGAAAACAGAGTACCTCATGATGACTTACATTGTGGAGACCCAGGGTCAGCCTGCAGACCACATTCTCTCCCGTGGACGCAAGACTAAACGTTTTTTCCAACGAGTCACAAGCTCCACCAGCTCCACCAGCTCCACCAGCTCCAACAGCTCCACCAGCTCCCAGTGGAAACTCAAGAATCCACAGAGGATCAGCGTTGAGACAGGTCATATGCCAAAGGATGAGAGGAGTATTAAGTTAACCTGTTTAGATGACCTCGTCACTAACCAGAAATACTCTTATCTAAGTGATGTTGAAAAAGAGGCTCAAAAGACTGATACCATCATTTTCATCAACCTTCTTAAAGGGATGCTCCACCTTGACCCTTCCGAACGCCTCACACCCAGTCAGGTGGTTGAGCATCAGTTTATAACGATGCAACATCTCCACAGCATGATCCCCCTCAGCTTTGAAGTGAGATCCAACTTTCACCTCATGGACCAGTTTAAAAAAAGAACTGTGGTCAGTGAAAAGGATGAAACACTGCAGCAGCCGTCCTCTACCAGGACTGTTCTTGTCAAAAAGAACTGTCATCCCAACACCAAAAGTAGCTGTGTTTGGACCAACGCTTTTTCCAAGGCCACAAGGACTGATGAGTCACTGCTTACGGTAAAAGCCACCTTTCCCCCCTTTAAAAGGAAGATGGCTGATGATGGCAACGATTCTGGACCTAAAAAAAGTCGTACTGACTATCGTGCCTTACCTGTTAAAAGGAAGCTGGCTTATGATAGCAACGATTCTGATCCTAAAAAGCGTCGTATTGACTATGGTGCCGTCACTGTTATAAGGAAGCTGGGTGATGATGAAGACAGTTCTGGACCTAAAAAGAGTCGTACTGACTATCGTGCCTTACCTGTTAAAAGGAAGCTGCCATATGATAGCAACGATTCTGATCCTAAAAAGCGTCGTATTGACTATGGTGCCGTCACTGTTATAAGGAAGCTGGGTGATGATGAAGACAGTTCTGGACCTAAAAAGAGTCGTACTGACTATCGTGCCCTACCTGTTAAAAGGAAGCTGGCTTATGATAGCAACGATTCTGATCCTAAAAAGCGTCGTATTGACTATGGTGCCGTCACTGTTAAAAGGAAGATGGGTGATGATGGTAACAGTTCTAGACCTGAAAAGATTCGTACTGACCATGGTGCCATCCACGTGGGCGTTGAAGTCCCCCAACAGGACGATGGAATCCCCGGGAGGAGCACTGTCCAGTACCCCTCCCAGTGTCTGCAAGAAGGCCGGGTATTCTACACTGCTATTCGGCCCGTAGGCCGAAACAACAGTG